AAAAGAGTTGTACAGTCAAAGTATAACTCTACGACATAGTATTCGATGACATCTTTAAGTCTAGGACGATCCGCACTACCAAACGTTCAGAGACTTTACATATCCAATGATACTCTCTATAATGAATCCTTGTGGAGTCTCTAGGCGGGTCATTTCAGTGCTATCTGTTCTCCAACAGATCCACCCATGACATCAGCTTGATAGAAAGAGCCTTGACGGCCGTAGGCATGTGAGAGGGAAAAATAAAAATTTTCTCAAGTGGAATTACATATACTATATCAAGAAACATGCTTTAGGACATGGATGTTACCTTGTTTTCTTTCCAAAACTTGAAGATGATCAAGGTGAGGCTTGAAGATACAAGCCCTCTAATGTTGATCCGCACCACCCTTTGCCAAGACGGAAGAACCCTTCTTTATGGCCACCTATGAACACCAAGGGAGGCAAGCTAGGCGTCTCTAATGGAGAGGAAGGAGGAAAGGTTTCAAGGTGTTTAGATGAGTGAATTTTCAGCAAAAAAAATGCACAAGAGTAGCGCATAGAATGGTAGGAGAAGTGGCTGGATTTTTCATAAAAAACCCTTAGGAGAACTCCCCTTTAAAAGGAGACTAAAGGAGGATTATATGCTGCTGATTTGAACGCCCCATTCAGCCATAAAATCCTCTCATAAAATCAAGGACATGATCATAATAAGATGCTATTTGAATTCAAATTCAAATCTAGCTCTTATCTTCTCCTTTTGTTATGAAACAAACTACTATAGTTAATTCAAATTCAAATATTTAAATTCAAAATTTAAATTATGAAATTAAATATTAGATAATTAATTTAACTATTTAAATTAATTAATAATGTCTTGGACTATCCAAGCCCATTATCACCATCCATGCGCCCCCTTCCTTCTTAGGTAGGCTTCCAAACTTCTTCTTGGGCTAACAACCATTATTAGGCCCAAAACCTTTAATGTTATAATGTCAAGACAATAAGGTGTTGGTGTGTGACCCATTAGGCCCAACATAACCACTGACATAAATGGGCTTGGGCCCAACAAGACCACAACCCATTTAATGACAACACAGAGCACTAGCAATGCTTTGTTGCCCCAGAGCTATTTAGGTTAATGACATGATCATCCTATTAAATATATTTGGTTACTGTATGTATTTCTTTTTGTCTCGGTTACCTTCCCATTAAACCTAGGGTGAGGAAACTTATCAACCCTTGCAGTTTAGGGTAAGCTTTAACTTGAAATAGAGAGTCTTTAATTTACTGACTCTAAAGACAGATCATCTCATGATCTCTTTTACTATGCATAGATTCCCAAGTCACGTAAATATCATCCTGATTTCTCCGGTTTACAGATAACCTAATCTCACAGAGATTTGACGAATTTCTTCAACTTGTCACCCTAGGCTCGTGTTCTTTCAGGGCATGCCCAAAGGTATACCTATGAATCTATATGTTTCAGGAAGACGAGGTATACAATCAAAACATGCCTTCTAGAACACAGTCTAGGCAAAAACTTCTGGTCTAAGGAAAGACACACTCAAATAATAAGAGACTGCTCTAATGATACTATCTGTGAGATTTCCTCATAGAGTCTCTTTTCCGAGTATGTTCAGTGCGAGCTATACGCTTATAGATCCACCCACGACTTTAGCTAAGACATCTCTATATGTCTGTAGCTCATGAGGTCTTTACCTTGTATCTGTATACAAGTAGATAAGCAGTGCTAGTCTTACTCGAGATTACTGATCCCCATTTTCACTGTCTCTAGACTAGGAACATAAAATTAGGAATAAACATCCGGTATCCTTGAATCCTCATGATCGTGATCTCATCACAGATACTCAAGAGATAGCTATTTTATTCCAAGGGGTTTATCTAGTTACTCATATAATATATTAACAATGATATTGAGACAAAATATGAAAAAGGATAATGAGTGCGTATGATTTATTTGTGACAATATAAAAAGTACATGTATGTCCTAATCGAATCAAAAGATTGTCTCTAGGACATCCATATACTAACACAGCTAAGGCATCACCATGCCTGCATTCCATGAGGTCCTTACCTTGTATCTCCATACAAGTAGATGATGTCGTACTAGTCTTATTGAGATCACCAATACCCTTTCTTGGTGATTCAAGACCAGGAACAAATTTTAGGTAATAGACATTTAGTGTCCTCGAGTCCTCATGATCATGATCCCTATCATAGATCCTCGAGTGAACACATGTTCTATTCCTAGGGTCTTTATCTTTTAAACGTATATTTCCAATAAAATATTGGCGAGACATAAATATGATAAAGATAAAGTTTGCTCAAATTTATTAATAATGAAATAGGAATAGAAAAAGGTGTTCATCTGATAAAACAGATGGTCTCTAGGACACCTATATACTAACAATTTCTTCTTCTCCCATTTAAATAGTTTCTTTTCAACTTTTTCGGGATTACCCTTGTTAACTTCAATAGTATCCTTTGCCTTTTCTTTCTTCTCTTCTTGAACATTTGGCCCTGCCTCTTTCTCCTTTTCTCCATAAATCTTCTATATAGGTTGAATGACTTTTCCATTCCTAGTACTTATAGCGTTGCAATGCTCCCTTGGATTGACAAATGTGTTGCTTGGAAAAGTACCCTTAGCTCTCCAGAATGATGATAGAGTCTCTTGCAGAAAGCATATGTATCCTCTCTGAAAGCATTTGCACCTTGAATATAGTCTGAAGTGGTCTTAGAGAGTTGTACGAAGGCTTTCTCCCATTTAGACGTGTTGCTTTGTTGTGGAAGAGGTGGCTATACTGGAAAAAGAGGATTGAGCTGATGGTTGGATTTGTAACTCAACCCTGGATGTTGATTCTTCCACCTTTGATTGTAGTTATCCCCATACTGGTTCCTCCCAGTATTACTTTAGTTAATCTAATCATACCAGAGTCTGTTGACTTCAACAGTTTCAAGAGCTCTCATGAAATCACATTCTTCTGTAGAATGAGCACTTGCACAAATTCCACAACTAACTGGAGGAGTATTGACATAAGAGACTTGGAAGTTTGTGAACTGCTTTGTGAGGGCATCCAACTATTGCCGCTGCTTCTTGTTCATTTGCAATATCTGCTCATTATGTGCCAACAATGCATAATAACCTTCCAGCTTCATAATCCATGCTCTCCTCTATGATACTAGAGCATTATCAAACTCCTGGGTTGCTAGAGATTCCAGCAACTGTAATGCCTACTATGGAGTTTTAGTCTTCAGAGATCCTCCCGCTGCAGCATTCACTAAGGTTCTTGTGTTAGGCGTCATCCCTTGAAAAAAAATTCTACCTTTCTTTCTGGGTCTTGCTGGATATTATCGAAGGTTTATTGAGGGTTTTTCCACAATGGTGCTACCATTGACCCGATTGACACGAAAGGATACTCCTTTTGTGTGCACCCAGGAATGTGAGAGGTGTTTTCAAGACCTTAAAGAGAAATTGACTACTACTCCAGTGTTAACCCTCCTCGATCTGGAAGGTGAGTTTGAATTGTACTGTGATGCTTCCAAGAAAGATTTGGGGTGTGTGTTGATGCAAGAGAGGAGAATGGTTGCTTATGCTTCTAGACAATTGAAGCCTCATGAGGAAAATTATCCGACGCACGACTTGGAGCTTGCTGCTATTGTATTTGCCTTGAAAATCTATAGGCATTTTCTGTATGGGATGAAATTTGCTGTGTTCAATGATCACAAGAGTTTGAAATATTTGTTTGATCAGAAAGAGCTGAATATGAGACAGCGGAAATGGGTGGAATTTTTAAAAGACTATGATTTTGAGCTAAAATACCATCCGGGTAAAGCTAATGTGGTGGCGGATGCCTTGAGTAGGAAGTCTGTTAGTGTGTCCCAGCTGATGTTGTGGGATAATGAAGTGATTGAATGAATCGAATCAACACCCGAAAGAGAGGGATTCCAGAGACTGTGCTGGTATGGGACGGTACAGTTAAGAATGGCTTATAAGAATGAATTGATACTACCTATACTAACAAGATGCATCTACTTTTCGGTAGCCCGGATCGGAAGAACTCCACAGTTAAGCGTGCTTGACTTGGAGCAATTCTGGGATGGGTGACCTCCTGGGAAGTTTTCTCGGGAAGTCTGCGAGTGAGGACAAAGCACACTGAAAAGTCTCGTGTTAGTGTGTGGGGACAGTCATTGATTCTTGCAAGTGGCCGGGCGTTACAAGTGGTATCAGAGCAGTTTTGGTTCATAGTGATTGTTTTTGCTTGAATTGTCTGCTGCTTGTTTAAATTGATTGATATTAACTGCTGAATGATTTGCTTGTTGTTTGATAAATATTCACTACTTACTATCTGTCGTATGATGGACTGCTTTAATTGTTAAATTTAGGTATTGACTGTTGTAATTAGACTGTTAGATTTAGACGGTGATAAGGGACCGATGCATTGTTAACTTACCCGATTTGAACTCGAGTCCCTACTTGGAATTTTCTGTCATAAATAACCTGCAGTGAGTCTGATCAGCTCATTTCGTGATATTGTGAGTGCAGAATCATGGCAGGTAATCGCGGCTCCACTCGGGGAAGGACTGACAATGCTAAAGAGGATCTTATCACAACTATTGGGGGATTGGCCACGTTCGTCCAGAACATGAGCCAAGAATGGCAAGAACATCGTCAATAGAACCAGAATCAACCCCCTCTGCATGACCATGCAGAGGAGATTGCCCGACGGAGGTTGAAGGACTTCCGTAACTTTCAACCACCTATCTTTGAAGGTGGAGACCACCCTGAGGCTGCAGCAAACTGGCTGCAGATGATCGAACATATTTTTGAACGGATGGGATGCCCGAACGCTCAGAAGCCGGACTATGCCTCCTATTAGTTGACGGAAGAAGCATTGACATGGTGGACTGGGGCGAGAGCTCTGCTGCGAGCTCAGAATACTGAAGTGACCTGGGCTGTGTTCAGGAGGGTATTTTTGGACAAGTACTTTCCAAAAGCAATGCGAAGAATGAAACACACGGAACTGCTGTCTTTGAGGCAAGGAAACATGACTATCAATGAATACATTGCAAAGTTTGCACAACTGATGGAATATGCCAATTTTGACCGTAACATCTATGATGAGGAGTGGCAAATGGAGAAGTTTGAGAGCGGATTGCATCCCGAGATCAGAAAGCTCATGTTGACCACGGCTATCCGTACTCTGCCCGAAATCATTAATCAGAGTCGGCAGGCAGAAGGCATTATCATTGAAGCAAGAAATTTGAATAGACAACCGGTGCAACAGCAGGAAGGAAACAGAGGGAGCAGATTCTTCAAGAAGAACACGGGAATGAACAAGGGAAAGGGTCCACAGATGCAAGCTCGGAATGGTAATTTCAAGAGAAATACTGCACCGGTCAGTCACCAGCAGGACGTCAGGGTCCCAGTGCATGTTCTAATTGTGGGAAAAACCATGCTGGAGTCCGCTTACAGGGGAGCAACACATGCTACAGATGTGGTCAGCCTGTACATTTAGCTTCTAAATGTCAAAACTATGCAAGTCAGCAACCTACGCAGGCCAGAGTGTTCACCCTCGATGCTAATGAGGCGCAGAAATATCCGAATCTTATTCGAGGTAACATAATCCTTAACGGTTATCCTATTTCTGCTATTTTTGATTCTGGAGCATCTGGTTCGTTTATGGCAAAACATATAGCTATGAAGATAGGTATCACCCCAGCTCCACTCCCCTATGAATTACAAATCAGTACTCCTACGGGAGGATCCTGTACAGCCTCAGAAATTTGCAGAGGCGTTCTTCTGGAGTATGAAGGAAGCATTTATACAATCAACTTAGTGGTCTTGTCGGTATTCAATTTCGAAGTAATTATCGATATGGACTGGTTGGTGGAGAACAGGATCACTTTGGACTGCCAAGCAGGGAAGATCATTGTTCCTCCGAGATACAGTAATTTTTTGTCTTTTGCTACTATCTCTATGTTGCAAGTTCGTAAAGAGCTTCTTCGGGGAGCTGCAGGTTATCTTTTGTCAATCGAAGCTGAGACCCTGGTTGAAAATCCAATTCAAAATGTACCAGTAGTGAATGAATTCGAGGAGGTGTTTCCTGATGAAATTCCTCGATTACCCCCCTCAGCGGGAAGTAGAATTTTCCATTGAGCTTATTCCTGGAGTTGGACCTATTTCCATTGCTCCGTATCGTATGGCACCTTTGGAACTCCGAGAGTTAAAGAAGCAAATAGAAGAACTGCTGGCAAAAGAATTCATAAGACCTAGTACTTCTCCATGGGGTGCACCAGCAATTTTGATAAAGAAAAAAGATGGTAGTCTACGTCTGTGTGTGGACTATCGTCAGCTGAACTAGGTGACTATAAAGAATAAGTATCCACTGCCGAGGATTGATGATTTGATGGATCAACTCAGAGGTGCCAAAGTGTTCTCCAAAATAGATCTTCGATCGGGATACCATCAAATCCGGGTCAAACCGGAGGATATTCTGAAAACTGCTTTCCGTACCCGTTATGGGCACTATGAATATCAAGTGATTCCGTTCGGACTCACAAATGCTCCAGCGATATTCATGGACTACATGAACCGCATCTTCCGTCCTTTCTTGGATCAGTTTGTCATAGTGTTCATCGATGACATCCTGATTTATTCGGTCAATGAAGAATTACATGCAGCACACTTACGGATTGTTTTGTAGATTTTAAAGGAGAAGCAGCTGTATGCAAAGTGGTCTAAGTGTGAGTTTTGGCTCAGTGAAGTCCAGTTCTTGGGCCACGTCATTTCTGCCGAAGGTATTGCAGTTGATCTCAGCAAGGTCGAAGCAGTGATGAATTGGGAACAACCTCAAACTGTTACAGAAGTGCGAAGTTTCTTGGGGTTAGCTGGATATTACAGGAGATTTATTCAAAATTTCTTGCGATTGGTACAGCCTCTCACTCGTCTCACTCGGAAGGATGTGCCGTTTGAGTGGACCGAAGATTGTGAAGAATGTTTCCTGGAACTGAAGAATAGATTGACTAGTGTTACAATAACACCTCGCAATTCTAAATTAAGTATTAAAATATTAAATGAGTAATTAAGCGAAGAATTAGTGAAAATTCTGAAGATTAGGCCAAAATACAAAGAAAGGGCAAAACGATAATTAGCCAACACGCAACCCTAGGAAGATAAAAATTGAGTAGAAGGTCTCAGATGGTAAAAGTAACCCTGAAATGGATTCAGAATGAAAACTTGAGTGTTTAGGCAAGTTTCAGAAAAATCAGAGAATAGTATTTTTACCAGGTAAAAATACCGCGGTACGATTGCACCGTAAAACGTGCCGATTGAGTTTCGAGCTCTAGGTTTTAAATATGAGTTATAAATGGTTTATAGAACTAGGGAATATGATTCTGATAAAATTTGATGGAAAAAAGTTAGTTTGAGGAAGCGTGCCAACGGCGCGTGCAACAGCTTAAAACAGCGTTTTCTCCGAACGACCGGAAAACTCAGGATTCATCTGATCAAGTATAATTAAAGGACAATGGTTAATATTAAAAATTAGAGTTTCTAAATAGGTTATGAATTTACGGACGTTTAGTGAAAATTCGGATTAGTTTTAAATCGCGTGAGGTGGTGGTGGAACCCACCCCACTTAAAGTCACTTAAACACCTAAGCTATTTACTATTCACTATCACTCTCATCTCACCTTCTCGCTCTTGAAAAACAGACCAGCCCCCCTCCCTTGGACATTTTTCGTTCAAATTTCATCTCCTTCTAAATCTATCATTTCTTAACCAAATCAAGTGATTTTTGTGTTGAAATTTGTTGGAAACAACCTTCCAAACACATTGGTGGTATTCATTAACTTTGAAACCCTCTCATTGGTGAGTTATGGGAAATTTTCAGTCACGAATTTGGTGGGAGTTTTGATGTTCATGGAGTCATTTGGCCTAGATTGGAGGCGTATCAAGCCTTGATTGTGAGTATGTTTCTACATCGTTTCCATGGTTAATTTTGTAGATCATATTTATGAAACCTAGACCTTGAATTGTTGATGTGTGATGTTAGAGAGCTCAAATGGAAAATGTGTATTAGAGGATGATGTCTTAGAATGATGTGTTAGAGCTAGAAATGCCATGAAAATTATTGGTGAAAAATATGATTTTGTAACTTAGAAAAGTTTGAGGTGTCATGACTTTGAAATTTGAAAATGTGTTGGGATTGGATTGGTGAGTTGTTCTATGGTTGTATGTTGATATAATGGAATTGTATGAGGAGTAGAGTGGTTAAAATTGAATGAAAACCCTTTGGAATTGCCTAGGTGACAATTCGGCCATGTAGGGAATTTTAAGGAATTGATGTTGTTGGCATGGCTTGGATGATGTATCATGTGTCAAATGGTATTTAGATGGGTTGTGTGGTGGTTTGAAGTTGGAAGGATCGATGAAAAATAATTAAGGGTGTTAAGTGCCATAAAGGATCCTAGAGCGAAAGATTAGACAAAACAACGTTTAAAAGAAGTAAATTGAAAAACGACACTTGGTATGGCCTTTTGGAAACCTAAGGATGCGTAATAAAATGAGAAAGAAAATTTAGAAAAATAAATTTGGAAATAAGCCTTGTTTGGCCGAACCTACAAGGGTGTAGGAGGATTTTTGGTGTTTTTCGTATTCCGATGGAATTGACGTGTACTGATGATTCGTACATGGTTGTATAGGTTGCAGTACGTTGAATTGAACCCCGAACCGTGATTCGGTGGATTGCCCTTGGTCCTGGACCAAGTGGGATTGAGGTAAGTGGTTGAATCATGCTTGTATAATTGATAATTGTATGTATTCATATGAGTTTTAAGTAATTGGGAATGTCGTCTGTGTAGGCATTCTGTTGGTTAGCGAGGTCGGAGAGTATATTTTGTGGAGCTAAGTGAAGAGGCTCATTGAGGTAACCTCTTGGTACTGGGGCTTGTTCCCATTGTGTGTTTCACCATACCCGTTGAGGGTGATGGTAGGAAATGTATATGAGTAGTGTAGAATAACATGAGCATGCATGTAGTATTTATGAGGGTACTTATGTACCGAGTCTCTGGCCAGTAGACAGTGTAGCCTTCGGGCAGTTCGGACTTCCACTGGATAGGTCTCCGAGAGGGAGTTCCAATTGACCTAGGGTTGTGGTGTGTGATCCGGATAGGAGCACACTAGGAAGTCTCGGGTGTATGCGGATGGGAGGGGTACCTTGGTTGTTGTTCTAGGAACACGCCTTGGATGCGACCCATAGGCTTATATGCCGAGGACGTTGCGTGGTATTGGTAGCTGCCATTCCCGCTTCGTCGTTTTTGGTATTCCTATATTCCCCAGTTTCACTAAGGGTTTAATTTCATTACTGCAGGCTAGGAGAGCCTTGAGAGCAGGGGCATTTGGATATGTCATGTTGGGAGGTTTGGTGAGTGGGTCACAGGAGGATATCACTGGTATTCCTGTGGTGAGGGAATTCCTCGAGGTATTTCCTGAGGACATTCCTGAGTTTCCGCCGCAGAGGGAGATAGAGTTCTCCATTGACTTATTGCCTGGCGTGGGGCCCGTTTCATTGGCTCCATATCGGATGTCACCACCAGAGTTGGCGGAGCTGAAGATACACATTGAGGACCTTTCAGGGAAAGGCTTCATTCGACTGAGTGTGTCTCCCTTTGGAGCACCAGTCATCTTTGTGAAGAAAAAAGATGGGACTATGCGATTGTGCACCGATTATGTAAGAACCCGCACTGCTAATTAAGGAAATTAATTAGATAATTATGAGATAATTCCATAATTGACCCTAATAATTATTATGAAGCTTTAATAAATATAGAAAGTGGGTAATAATGTTGAAAGTCGTTTTTCGGACGAAAAGTGCAGATACCGGTTCTGCTCGCAGTATAAGTGCGTACCTGCGAATTATCCCGGAAAATTATGAAAAGTGAGTATATATTACTAGATTAATATGTAGGACTGTGATTTCAAGTTTCAAGTTAAAATAATGAGAACTGGTGCCAGAACTGATACTGGCTGTGGAAAAGCGTATACCGGAAAGGTGCTACAAAAAATATAATAAAAATATGATAAATCTTAGAAAATTGAGTAGGTTCTGATTCCAAAGTTTGGGATCAAATTGCTAAGCGTAGTAATTAGCGCTAATACAGTGCGATTAAGACTTAATGAGGCTATATATAGGTGTGCACAAGTTTCTAGGTCAGAAACATGACACCCTCTACGAGAAAATTGGTTGAGTGTGAGCTGCCACCTTCTCCCCTTGACCTTCTTGCATGAGAACTCTCCCAAGCCACCTCTTTTACCATAGATTCTTCTCTTTGAACCTAGTTTACACTTGAGAGATTGCATTATGAGGGGGTGTGGGTGCACATTCTGAGTTTCCAGCCACTGTGAGTTGGTGTGGGTGCTGACCTTACTGGTTTGGATGTATGGAAGCCATAGTCATGGCATTTGGAGGTCCAAGTAGTGACCTTTGGTGAAAAAGAACCAACCTTGATCATCATTTTCGTTTTACTTGAGAAGTCAGACTTTGGAGCTTTATGTGAGCTCCAAGAGCATAATTCCTTGCTGTTTTAAGCTTTGGGTAAGTTGTTGAACCTTTGATCATGAGTTTTAATGGGTAAAAGGGAAGTCTTGATGCATGAAATGAATTAAAGTTAATAACCTATGATTGGGTAATGTTAAACACACTCAAAAACGTATGTTTAAGCTGTTGGAACCTTGAAATGAACAACCTTTGGACGTATATCTCGTGAAATGCAGAACTGCATTTTGTCGCGAAATATCCAGATATGCATATCATCCGGATAGGATATCCGGATATTGGGACAACAACGAACCTGTTTCGGTAAAAATTTGATATCTTGAGCTTCAGAGCTCCAAATCGAGTTCCGTTTAGACCTATGTGAAGCTAACACATAGGGATATATCTCTGTAATTCGTAGCCATTGGATAAGTGGATTGATCTCAGTGTCATTTTGAAGTCGTGTTTTGGTTGCTGGATATTCCGGTTACAGCAGTCACTTTACGTAAAACATAACTGGAGTTATACAACTCTGATTGAGGCGTATAATATGTCGTTGTGAAGATGGAGATGTTTAGTTTAACATATTAAAATATTAGAATTTTTGGTAAAGAGATGCAAT